AATAGTTACTAGAAAAACAACTAGGCAGATAGCTTAGATAGTTAATACTAACCCTATCCTAACCCTACCCCCAGACCCTAACGTATATAAAGTTATGCAGATTATTAAGGCTACTACGCAATTTACATTAAGAGAAGATGAAGGATTCGCACCTTTAGGTATCCGAGAAAGATCAACACAAGCACTGTATCTAAATGTGACTGGTACCTATAAGATAAAGGGAAATTGTTATTTAGCACAAGGGTTCTTGGGTATCTGTCGTGGATACCATCCGGCTGTATGTTATTACCGACCAATACAGTAAGAAAACCCCTTTTGAACCAGACTGCAGTCCTCCTTGACACTAGGGTTCCACTTGATAAAGTCCTCCTGGGTGATCTTGTTATTATTGCAGATGCTGTAACAATAATCGCCAGAAATAGCGGTATAGAAGTTCTTACATCCTGCGATCGTATCAGGCTATAGAAACAGTGTTAGTCAAAAAGTCTCAACAGAAGCGTGTTCTAGACCTACAGCAACATTTGATGGAGTGGGGATCCCTTCTGACGGCTTCGTCGGTGATGTTTCTGTGGTGCTAGAGGCTGTAGCGCTTGTTGTCGCCAGCGGGGGTTTGGAATCAGCCGCAGTGGTAGTTGTTGTGGAAGATCTGTATTCATCTGTACTATGTCAGTATGTAGTGCAGTATAAATGGAATAATTATTGTACCTCGAAGATAAACGCAATATCTATCCTTCTTGTTGATAATGCAAGGCGAAGCCTCAGCAAGACTGGGATTCCACTTCTTCAAAGTCTCGACAGTAGTCCTATATCGACGAGCAATCTCCTCGCAGCTGTTCCACTCTTGGGTGAGCTCATCATCACTAAGTTCCGCCCATTTGTAGTAGACACGACACTTGCCGGTATCCCAGGTGCCAGATGCCAGAGGCTTCTCTGTGTCGACTGGCGTGGGCAGCTCGGTCCGCCATCCAGGACCCAGAGTTGCGTCGGGTCCTCCATCGGTATCGATACCTTCACCGGGCTTCTTGGAAAAGGTTGACGTGTAGCCAGGGTAAGTCTCAATATCTCCTATGGCCCGGACACAGTAGCCTTCGCCGAGGATAAGATTGGTACATTTCTTGTCAATGCTGGGGTTGAGGAAGTAGAAGTCCTTGAGAGATATTCCCGCGGCCAGGGTTACATCGGCGCAGGTATCTCCCTTGGTTATATTGTAGTATTGGGCACACTGGGTGTTCGTTCCGTTGGCAAGGTTGCTTGGCTCAGGACTGTCCGGTTGGTCTCTGTTAGCCATTTGCTTTGCTTGGCAAGTCACATGCACTTACGCTGGTGTGATAGGCGCGTTACTATCCGATGTTGCTGACGGTTTCAGATGGCCCAAGCCTGGGGGTGAAACACAAATCTGCATACCAACATGATGCCCCATGTTAGAGCATACGTCGTTAATCGTGGGGTTCCATGAGATAAGTTGAGTCATGCTGAAACCAGGGGCATATCTGCTAAACTTGTAGACGATACGACCGCATGTATCATCGTCCTTTTCGACAGTATAGACATCACATGTCTTGGGCAGGCATACTGAGGCCCCAGCTTTGGGAAGGTTGTCACACCAAATGTTCAACCGGTTGATTCGAGTGAATGCGTATGTGGACACGTTCTGTGACTTGCAAATGCCGTTACAAGTGTCCTCTGCCTGTATTATGTATGGTGTTTCACAAGGAATGGTAGTCGTCGTAGTGGATGGTTTGGTACCCGACACAGGACTTGTAATGGCCTTTGTTGGGACCTGAATATCAAAGCCAGTCTTTTGGCAACTTTCTGTCAAGACGGAGAACTCAGACGCGATCTTTTCGTTGTAGGTCAGTTCTGAGTTGAGACCCAGCTGCATAGCTCCTAGGGCACAGTCGGAGCAGTTCTGCTCTCTGGTGTGGTCTTTGATCAAAGGCCAGGAGCCCATGACTGGAAGGCAGAACTTTCCTGTATTGCTACATGTTGTTAATAAACACGACGAAGTTTGCAGAGATCCACTTACGGGTCTTTAAGACATGCTTTAGTAAAGCCATCCAGGAGCTCGCGGATATTGTCTTGAGCAGTGACAAGTCCTCCATGCTGGAGAGTCACGTTATTTTGAGCCACTGGACAAGCCTTAACAATGTCTTTTTGAGTTTGGATTAACGATGCCTCGCACTTCTTAGTGCAAAGCTTTTCCAGATGAGATTCTGTTGGCTTATTGTTCTGGAACACAATGGAGTCCAGCACAGCATCGCAGTCAAGTGTTGTGTTGATGGCAGTTTTACAAGTAGAAGTGTAATAATCAACATCGTAATCATAAACCCAATCGGTAAACTGCTGAGCAACGGCTGAGCCGAGCAATAAGGGAAGAGTGATTTTCCACTTGATTAACATTTTACAAAGCAAAGGCTTGCAAGGGGTTATCGATGTGCGGACTGGAGACTTGACGATACGTGTGAACAATTAAATGCTGATCTCAGGGTCCTTTTCAGTCACGGGCCAGAGTAAAAGTAAATCGGATCAGTCGAGTCCCTCCGAGTGTTGGTGGCTTGTCCGGCTGCAGGTCCTTGCAAATTTTAAGGTAAGTACGCCAAGTCGCAGACTAATGAAACCGACAGGGCTGTCAAGGGTCAATGCTAGGCCAGGGTCTACTTCTGCACTGTCGCGTTTCCAAATTTTGGGACGCGCCCACCACAATGGCTCTCGGCATGTCTATACTAAACTGTTCTTCAGATCTCAAGAATAGCATTTTCTATAGCACGATGGCTTAAGATCAGTTGTTATTTCCTTCTTTTATCGATTCTTCATCTACAAGGTCATTAAAAGACGTTTTTAATTATTTTGTTTTGTTGCTGCAAATACGTGACTCGTTAATTTACCTCGGACCGTTTGACCTGGACTTTCAGCAACGCACATACCAAGAGATGGCTTGTACCATAATCGGTCCGACATATTCGGGCCAACATATGTGGAGATCACATAGGCTGCTACCGTGCTGAGGTCTGATCATCTATCCACAAAATGATCATCTCGTTTGAGTTTGATCGCAGCCGACCAACAGCTATCCACTCGGACTGTAACTTTACTGTGAGCACGGTTATAGATCGACGAAACAGCTGTTGGTTCTACCATGAAATTACGTTCTGTTTCTTAACCGAAGCTGTTCAGCGCTTAGTTGTGCCTGTTGGTTGTGATGTTGAAGATTTTTCATGTTTCAAGAAGAAACAAGACGGGTTGTGCGGCATCATCCTGACTCGGCGACTCGGGACGATGAAATGTGACTATCACGCCTTATCATCCATATGTATAATATGATGTTTCTATTGTCTGCAATGTTTCCAATCGCTTGAATGTTTCGTATCATCTTCCATTGACGTGTTTGTCTTGCTGCCTTTCTTCATTGTTTCGTTATGGAGACACGAACTAGCCACAGGTGGCTGCACGTCTCCATCCTCATTCTCTTACCACTTGTTCTTTCGTTATTTGTCTATCACTTTTCTTTCAACGTCAATCACTTCTCCGCCGCACCCTATGACTTTGGATCACTAACTTCCTTTTTTCCTTTGGAGGACGGTCATCCAGCGGGGAACGCCAGTACTCTCCTAGCCAGAGAAGACGATCCTTATGCTTGCAACGCAACGAAACCCTGCTCCAACGGCGCTTGCTGGTATGTCTTATCACATGTAGCTGAACTTTGACTAGGCTTCCATACCCTGACTGACACTTGATACTAGTGGAAAGTCCGGTGTATGTGGATTTGGTCCAACCTACTGTGGAAAGGGATGCACGTCAAACTGCACTGCCAAGGCAGAATGTGGCAGATACGCGAACAAGGGCGATGAAAAGTGCCCTCTCAATGTGTGCTGCAGCGAGTACGTTTCAAAAGACATGAGCGTCCATAAAGCTCTTGCTGACTTTGTCTCCAGGTTTGGCTTTTGCGGTACTACCAAAGACTTTTGTACTGGCAAATGCCAGAGTAACTGCGGTACACCCAGTGTCCCCGCAGGAAAAAGCACTCGTCCAGTCCGTGAAAAGGTCATCGCATACTATGAAGCTTGGTAAGTACACCAAACATCACCGCTCCTCTACTCAGCTCACCCTTTATCAAACAGGAGCGCTAGGAGAAAATGCCACAGCTTCCAACCCTCCCAGATCCCCATCAAATCGGTTACTCACGTCAACTTTGCTTTTGCCTATATCGATCCCGAGACCTTCCAGATCACAACAATGGACTCTCAAACACCAGAGAGCCTTTTTTCAACCATCACGTCTATCAAGTCTATGAAGTCTGGCCTCGGTGACCCCGTTGAGGTTTGGGTTGCCATTGGTGGTTGGACGTTTTCCAATAACCACACAGATACACAGCCTGTCTTTACTGATATTTCGAAGAATAAGGAAAATCGTCAGAAGTTCGCCAACAATGCGGTTTCTTTCATGATGACCTATGGTTTTGATGGTATTGACATTGACTGGTACTTGATCCATGGGAACCCCCAACATTGATAGATCTAACTCTTGTCTTACAGGGAATACCCTGGCGCCACTGATCGAGGAGGCAAGAAAGAACAAGACACGAAAAGCTTCGTCCAGCTCATTAAGACCTTACGAAAGACCTTTGACGATAGTCCACGAGGCGGATACGGTCTGTCATTTACCATTCCTTCAAGCTACTGGTACCTTCGCTGGTTCGACGTGCCTGCCATGCTGAAAGCTGGAGCATCGTGGGTGAACTTGATGTCGTATGACTTGCATGGTAAGAAAAAACCCACAAATACTCCTTTCTTCACAGCACTAACGCTGGAGGCTAGGTGTATGGGATGAGAATAGTGTTATTGGAAGTCAGGTCCAGGCACACACTAATCTCACAGAAATCAAGCAGAGCGTTGAGCTCCTGTGGCGCAACAACGTCCCTCCTGGAAAGGTCATCCTCGGAACTGGCTTCTACGGTCGTTCATTCCAGCTATCAAACCCATCTTGCAACACGCCCGGATGTAAGTTTGCGGGTGCTGCAGACAAAGGCCCGTGTACGAACGAGGGGGGCATCCTTGGCTATTTTGGTAAGACATTAGGCTCAATAACCTTGGACCAACTACTAACAGGGATATAGAAATCCAAGACATCCTGGCGAAACACAAGGTCAACAAGATCCATGACAAAGAAGCCGCAGTCAACTACTTCACTTACAACAAGGACCAGTGGGTCTCTTATGATGATAAGACTACTTTCGAGCAAAAGGTCAAATGGGCCGACTCAATCGGATTGGGCGGTTTGATGATCTGGGCCGTTGACCTCGACGACAGTGACTTTACAGCGCTTTCTGGACTGATTGGCAAGAGCGTTCAAAAGGGTGTGAACAAACTGCCGTCTATTTCTGAACGAGACGGCAAAAGCTGGTCTTCAGAAACCGGTAAGTAGTCTGCGGTACTGTTTTCTTGTTATATCACGATATTAATTGCCGGTCTAGGCCAGGATTGTTGGGTGACAGATTGTGGCACCCACTGCCCTCTCACCGACGTCACCCTCAAAACGTATGATTCCACCTGCGGCAAGGATGAGACAAGAAGCGTATGCTGTCCCCGTGATCGAGCACCTGAGGAATGCACCTGGCGCGGTGGTGAGAGTGGAAACGCCTGTCACGGACAATGTCATGCAGGAGAGTTGATCATGACCTTTGATCGCAACGGAGACAGTAGGTTCATGGCATTACAATACTGAAACGAAGATGCTGACTAAGCTTCAGAATGGTGCTCTTCCGGCGAGCAAGTTCTATGCTGTACCTCTGACCGGTTCGAGGCTTTGCTTGATGGCTGCGAGCTTGGTGACTGCGGTGGTGACTGTCCCTCTGGCACCCACAATGTCGCCAAACAGACTTGTGGTGGAACATTTTCTACAAAGAAGGCTCCCTGGTGTTGCAAGAAGAAACTTGAAAGCTGTCACTGGGTTGGCAAGGGCGGATGCGACCAAAATAACTGCGCCGGGTGAGTCTATATCTGAGTCCGCGACGGTTCACCAGCTTATATTGACATGCTCAGCAACGATGTGATGCTCTCTAGGAACAAACGAGGTGATGGGAAATGGGGATGCAATATCGGCGGTCGACAGAAGAGTCTCTGCTGCAATGCTCCAAGCGGCGTCCTGCCATACACACCTGTACCTCTCGAGTCCATTTTCCCAGAGGTTCCACCCGAGGATTCCAGCGTCAAGTATGATCTGCAAGTTCTTGGAGGTTTCGCCGGTAGCGGTGCTGAGACTACGCACGAGAACATCAACAACGATCCAGCTTTTGCGCCGTTTGGCTTTGTTCTGATCGCAGGGCCTAAAGATGCGGTCTCCTCCATCTCCAAGCGTGACGACTCTCACATAGAGGTTGTCGACTGCTCTGGCATCACCTTGTCAGGAAGTCAATCTGTGCGGATATTCTGCTCAAACGACAGCAACGAGAGCAACTGTGACGATATGCTTGAGGGTGGACTGGAGGGGACGGTCCTTCGGATGCCAGACAATTGTGGTCCAGCGACATACGTTATTGCACAATCTCTGAAAGTTTCAGAAGACCAATCTCTTCCTGTTCACCTTGCCAAGAGAAAACCCGATGACCGGGAGGTGCTAGACCTCATATTCCATTACGACTTCAAGCGAGTCAAGCGGTCAGACGAGAAGATCTACATGCGAGTAGACTGGTCGTAAGTAATAGCAAAACCTACTAGTCATTCACCCACTTATCATATGCTAGGAACGTTGCCGGTTATTGGGACGAGATCGTTGCGGCCAGTCCAGACGAGAACAGCAAGCGTTCCTTGGACCCTCGTCACCTTGGTCAACGGGGTCTTGACAAGCGCTTCTTCTCGGATGATAGCGCCGAGTGGTCAAGGAGTAAGTCGATACCATGATAACATAAGAGGTACCAATTCTCTAACAGAGCCACAGAGTTCGAGAAGTTACGAGACACACGTTTCTGGACTGATTTCTCTTCGCCCGCGACAACAGTCCTTATTAACGATAAGGTCAAGTGTGATGACGGCGGCTTCCTGCAGATCGAAGCGAAGACCAATAGCGAAGTCTACGCCAAGTTCGGGTTTACCATGATTGGCACGCTCTATCCTTTCAACTTTGACAGTGTCTACGGTTTCCTCGACACCTGGTATGACATTGATGTCGAAGTAAGCGTCACCGGCTTATCAGGGCTGGACATCAATCAGCAACCGAAAACAGGAAAGGATACAGAGAAACAGGACATGGCGTACATGCAACCTGGCCTCGTGAACCTGGTTCCCAACTTCAACATCTATTTCGGCCTTGAAGCCGATGATGCCGAATTTACTGCGTAAGTTCAGGCTGATCTATCGAAACATGAGGTAATCGCTAACCAGACTAGGGACTTCAAAACCGAGTTCAGCATCAAGTCAGATCCAGACAGCAACAGAGGATGGGTCCGACGTACCTTTCCTTCGACAGTTGGCAAGTCCTCGGGAGCAGCACTTCTGGACAGCACTCATTTCCAAGGCGGACTCAAGACTACCAAGGGATCTGCTGAGATCTCAATCAGGCCTCAGTTCAACATTGGCCTGGAAGTCGAGGCCACTGGCGCGAGCGACTTGAAGCGAGACGTCGCTAACCTCGAACCTCGGCAAGGCGTCTCGGGCGCTAAGTACGACATCTCACTCTACTTGCCAGTGGCACTCATCCTCCAAGCCAAGGGTCTGTACAAGGAGAACAAGGGTCTCCATTACGGCATGTACGCGACTGCTGGCGATGCATTCGGCAACTGGGGTTCGGAGCCAACAAATGGTGAACTGATGGGTAAAGCCTCGAACCCTACTTTGGTTCACCGAGTAGACGAAAGCCCAAGAACACCAAGCTCTATAGACTCAAGTGAGCAGGGACTGTTTAGTCCAAAGAGTCTCACTTGTCCCAAGGAGAGCAACACGTGCCCGGATTTCGACTGTGACGTCGACCTTTGTGCCACAGGGGACTATGGATGCAACGAAGAGACCTTTAGCAGCCGGCCACGATCTCAGGGTTCAGCAAGCCGCAAACGTTCACTCGAAATTTCTAACAAGCGGTCACAGCATGTCCACCTCCATCAACGTCATTCGAGATCGCATGTTCGCCATGAGCCGGTTGACCTTGAAAACGTTGGCCACGGGTATATGGAACGGAAGGAGGAGAGCCATACCCTGGACGAGTGAGTGTCTATGAAGGCCACTATGCATGATTGAAGCTAACAAATCGTCAGGCTCGACAACAGTGATGCCCCTCCACATCTCTTTCCGAGAAACAAGGAACGTGATGGAGTGTGTCTGAACAAGGAGACCGGGAAAGAGAAGCGTGCATCATACCGTTCTCTTGATTGGCCGAAAGGTGAAGACTTCCCATATGATGACGAGCGCTGGGAAAAAGCCTACAATACCGTCCCTCACAAGACGTGTACCGAAGGAAAGGTGTCCGAAGTTACAATTGCAGATGCCGATGATGTGACGAAAGGTGTAGACCCTGAATACTGTGGTAGGTTTTGGTCTTTTCTCTTTCACTCCTTCTCCCTTTCATTTTTGCAAATTAAACCCATCATTTGCTAATTATGTTAGTCGAGCACATCGTGGAGCTCCAAACTATGGGTCTGTTCTTGAAGGACGTTCGATTCAATACCCTACCAGGTGGCATAAATTCGAACCTTCCGCAGATATATTGCGACTTTATTCTGTCTCTGAAGAAAGAGGTTCTTGACAACGTGCCGGAACTTGAAGGACTAGCCAAGGAGGATAACTACGTGCCCATGCACCGCATCATGTGGGCTCACGGGACTCCTGACAACCACAAGCGCTTTGTTTTTCTTCAAGCCGGAATCAACGGGGTTAAAGCGAGTGTAAGTTGACCCGGGAGCGACTCGATAACTCTTGCTGACAATTTGCAGTACTGGGCAGGAACTCTTACCAGAATAGCCGCAAAGATGATCGAAGCCGAGACGGACAAGGCATTGATGAAGATTCGACATACACTGAACGTATTCTCTTATCTTTCCAACACGATCGTTAACACAAACTTTGCCGAGATCTGCAACTCGATCCGCACGGAGTTTGGCCGAGCAGAAGCAGCCTGGGTCAAAAAAGGTAACAAGGCCAGCGGTATCGTTAGGTACTGGGATGCTTGGATTCGCAGCCACCAGAGGGCAATGGCTGCCAGAGCCATCGAGTTCATCGACGATCAGGTTGATACCCTCGAGCAATTCTGGTACGAGAAGTTGGTGTCGAATGATGATTGCGACAGAAAGAGGGCTGCCGATGTTTTGCAGAAGGTCTCGACGCTGAAACGCCAAAAGCCTCTGGTGGCCGTCGATCTAAGCAGATTGGACTAAGATATGGGTCGAGTTACAAAACATGTATTTAGTTGTTTACCTTTTTGCATATCTTTCTTCAAATCTCTTCTTTGCATTTGGTATTTCAATATAATAATTTCACCTGACCTGTTTTTTGAGTCCTACATAGCCCCCATTGAACCAAGTTTAACTGTGGTTTGTTAATGCATATCTCGATAACAGTCTAGGGGAAACATCTCCTCAAGGTCGGCGTAGTTATATATGTGGGCGCAGATCAGTGGCAAGTCAACAAGAGGACAGATATCTGTCCCCGTATAATGCCTTCCCTGGGTACTAGCCCCTGCCTCTTTTGGGTATCTCCATTTGCGGTCCACCAGTTTCACAGAGATATGTCTCAAAGTTTCGGAGTCGTCGTCTAGATCTTCCGGGAAAGTAATGCTCGCAAGACTGTCGATTGTCTGCTCATCAAGTACAACGCAAAAGTCGTAGCGTCTGGGCCCTCTAGGTCTGTTGAGGTTATCTTTAAAGAACTTTTGGCTCTCCCTCTCCCACTCCATATCAGGGGGAAACAGCCGGAGAGAGCGGACGTAGGCATTGAATTCCTCTCTGACACGGTCGTCGGAGGCATTTTCCAGCAGTTCTTTATCTTTGATGACTTTGATTTCAAGACGCTTGAATGCCTCTGTTGCAAATGCCCTAGACCGACGGCATCGGAGGATATAACGATGAATAGTCTCGACTAGATTGTTGATGGCCTGGCTGATATTTGGTGTGACCTTGTCGGAGTAGGCTGTCACTATAACGACAGGGCCCCAGGTCGGCTCACCATCGGTTTCACCGTCTTCGGTCCAATCCAAATCGACAAGTTCGCTCTCCTGGGTGAGCGCCTTGAAAAGTTCTTTAGCATCACTTTCCACGTCCCCGCTGTTGCGAATAGAGCTGGCATCGGGTAGCTGCTGCTCTACAGCCTCAATCGATTGAAATTGTCGATGTGTTTCGACGTCAGCACCTGGTCCAAACGCCTGCACAGCGAAGTGACGCTCCTGGGGCACAGGCCGAGTTTCAAGACTTGGGTCGCGTGGTGGTAGGAGGACTGGTTCTTTTTTTCCGCCGCGGCCAGTCATCTTGTCAAATTGCTTATGTAAGGGTGGGAAGTTTTGTAAAGAAAATAGTACAAGATGTTCAGTTAAAAATAATTGCAAGGGACACACCGCTTTAAAATAAATTATTGTATTGCCTGAGGCATTATTGTTTACAAAGCCATGTCCGTGAACTTGTTAGTTATTAGCTATTGGTTCTTAGTTAATGCTTACCCACATGTTAGCACGTGCTACCTAATCAAGATACCCTAGCTGGATCTGTCCCTAATCGCACTGCAATCCGGCCCCCTCTAGCGCGCTGGCGCTTAAGGTTGGAAGGTTATCCAAATGAGGTACAGTTTTACTGATATATGATCAAGAGTGAGATATTAGCCCGGAAATTCATGTGATCGTTTCTTTCTCGATTTTCTGACTATTAACTGATTAATCAAGACTGTTAATATATATAGCACATATATCAATAATCTGTACTAGTAATAGTTGAATCCCACTCCTGCAGTATACTTGCAACATTATCCAATTTTCCTTGTATCTCGTCCATTGCATCCCTTCCGACAGGTAAACGCAATAGGATCTTCTTCCCAACTAAGCAGCCCTCTTGTCTCACAAGGTCGATTACTATCTGGACAAACTTACGTGGGTCTCCAGGCTGCCTCAAGTCACTGCCATGGAGATGAGAACCATGAGCTGCCGAAGCCACTTCGTAGTCGGAGATTTAGCTTTGCTTGAAATAAAGATTCCTATCAGAAAGTAGATGGGTTCGGAAGCGTCCAGGCTCTATAAGCAGTGTCCGGAGACCAAGAGATTTTGTCTTATAGTGGAGACTTTCAACGACACCTTGCCTTTCATCAGTATAGGTGGCCACAGCAAGATTTGATAAGTGATAACTAACCCTATGAATTATTCAGAGGCAATTAGCCGGATATCGCCTACCAAAATGGATAATTTCGCTTAAAACTTAGACTTAAATCGAGCCACGTTGGATAGAGCTGCTAATTAGCTGAAAATAGCCCTAACCCCCACTTGGGGCTAGCTAGCGTCCGCTTGGGGTTAGTGCAATACGTAGGAAAGATTAGTATAGTAAGTAGGGATAGGGTTAGGATAGTCTGAAAGTCTTAGTAAAATTTTAATTGCAAGTTAATACTATAGTTAAAAATTTATATTAAATCTACTATTGCAAAAAGTAATATATAGGCTAGTTTAAATAGTAGTTTAGGATATAATTTACCTATTTCTACTTATTATAAATATTTTAAATTAGTATTATATATTTTCTTATACTTTCTTTTCTTTCTTAAAAGTTTATTAGCTTTAATATATTTAATAAGTAAGTACTCTAGTAAAGTAAGTACTTTAAAAATCCCTTAACTTTATATCTAACTATTTAATTAATTAATTCTTAACTACTTAATATATTATAACCCTTAAATAAGGCTAAGATTCTTCTTACTCTTTAAGCTATTTAAAATAACCTTAAACTAAGTTTATAATATATAATAAATATCTATAATATTAACTACTTTACTTTATATTACTACTAGATTAGTATTTAATTATAATATAATTTAATACTAAATTTATAAAAGCTATTTAATTAAAAATAAAATATAATAATTTAATTTATTTCTAACTTAAATTTATAAGGATTTCCTTTCTAATTATATTTTATAAAAGAAATAGCTAATTTTCTTTTTACTAATTATAATATACTTTCTATTAATATATACTAGGCTTATAACTTTATTAAGTAAT